TATAAATATATATATAAAACTTCTGGCTTCTTTCATTTATATATTTTGAAGCTTTCATAAGTTAAAGATCCTCATTAATTTTATTTTCTGTTTTAAGAGAAGCATCAGAATTTATTACACATGTAAAATCTAGAAAAAAAGACTTTAATAGAGCATTTGTTTGTTTGTTTGTTTTTAAGGCTCAATGGAGCAAACACTCCCATTTATTTAGCAATCACCATATGCCAGACACTGTTCTTAGAGTCTTTTTTGCATCAAAATGTAATTTATCTATTTATTATAATTGTACATATTTATCAGACACAATGTGGTGTTTTGATACAAGTATACAATGTGTAATAATCAAAATAGCATATTTTGATAGAGGACTTAAAAGTAGATTAAAAGCTACAATTTTTAAGATTGGCAATAATATCTCATTCAGTCTTGAAATGAAGTAGAAGTTATTTTTGCTTCCATTTTACAGATAATAAAATCAGCGGGCTTGACCAAGGAACATTGCAAGCAGCTTGGCAATCTAGAAGCATATAGGGCATCAGATGTTAAGCCAGAGGAACAGATTAGAATTAGGAGGAAGGACCAGATCCAGGTAAAAAGGAAGCACAGCATCCATACTTTTCTGGAGCGTGGCATCAAAATCAGGGCTTTGATAAATAATTTCAGATAAATATTAATGATTCAATCATAGGCAACTGACCAGGCACAGTGACTCATGCCTGTAATCCCAGCACTTTCAGAGGCTGAGGAAGCAAGAGGATTGCTTTAAGCCACGAATTTGAGACCAGCCTAGGCAACAGAGTGAGACTCAGTCTCTACAAAAAAATAAAAAATATAGCCAGGCATGGTGGCTCACACCTTTAGTCCTAGGCTACTCAGGAGGCTGAGATGAGAGTACCACTTGAGCCCAGGAGTTTGAGGTTGCAGTAAGCTATGATTATGTCACTATACTCCAGCCTGGATGACAGAGGGAGACTCCATCTCTTAAAAAAACAAACAAACAACAACAGTAACAAAACAAACAAAAACATAGGAAATCGTCTCATTAAGAATTCTAAGCACCGAGAAAGCATGAATTCATCTAATTTCAAACCTGGATGCTTCAACAAATACCACCAGAACACTTTAATAGAAGTCAAGTGCCATTGCAAAGACAGGGGAAGTCTTATAGCACTGACAGCCTTGTGTTAAGCAATGTATCCTTAGCACTAGGTGTCAGCCTGAAGAACATGATTTATCTTTGGGAGCAAGATAGGATGTAGTTGAAGGTAGGGTCTTCATGGAATATGTATGCTAAGTACTAACTGCATTACAGGAATGATAAAGGGTTAGTTTACAGGATGAAGAAGAAACCGATACAAAATAGCAACCCGTTATATACAATATTTTCTTTTTAACTTTTGATTTTGCAAAATGAGACTAAAAGACAGTATCAATCTAGAAAAGTACTCTACATATTTTTAAAATTTTGAGGAGAGAAATTTATAACATATCTAAGCACTAGCTAGCACGCAATATGACATTTCGCTTTTGCTTTGTAGAATAATCTTAGTTCTTTTCTGCTCATAGATTCCAAACACTTCCAGAAAAGCTACTGCACTTCATGTTGAGTAGTATCTCCACTGTAAGTAAACTTGAAAACCCTATTAAAGATAGTCTCCCTTGTCCCATTCCTCAGGGTCCTCAACCTCTTTCTCAAGAAAACTATAATTAATATAGTTAACATGATCATCTATCTTTATAAGAATGAAAATTATTTAGCTTCTGATTCTGTCTTCAACAGAATAAGATCAAACAGCCTTCCCAAGCTGAGAGTGGCAGAGCCAACAAAATTAACATTACTTAGTAATTCTATCTAAAAAACAAGGTATGCTGTTTATATTGATATTTTTAATGACCCATGAATATTCCTTTATAAGCATCTGTTTCCTATTTTATACTCTAAAATTGAGAAATCTTCATTTGCTTATCGAACTGAGAGAAATTTTTAAAGTCCTAGTTCCAACATTGGCATGGATATTGCAAAACTCAGACTGCCTCTGCTACCAGTAAAGTGCATATTGGTACTATAATTTTGGGGAATACTCACAATGTACATGTTAGTCACATCAAATATACTTATTTCTTTATACTACATAATCCCACTACTACAAATTGATGCTAAGTACAATGTCAGCAGTGACAAACATTTTAGTAGGATATTTATTGCAGTGCTATTTAAAATAGTGAGATATTAAAAACAATCTGAATGTCCAACAATGGTGGGTAAATGGTGAAATAAATTATGAAATATCCATAGGATAGTATATCACAGAGTCATTAAAAATCACCTTTTCAAGTAACTGGAATATATAGAATAAAAAATTTAACTTCACTTTTGTGAAAACAAACCACAACAAAAACTGGAGGAAAATATACCAAAATGCTGGTAGCAGTATTAATAATAAAGAAAAAGAAGTTGATAAGAAAAACCAATACTGTTTTTTTAAAAAGGCAGAAAGTGTGGTCTAAAATGTTGCTAAAACTCAGTGCCAAATTTACCTTCCTTGTTTCTGGACTTCATTCTGACTTTTTTTTTTTGGGGGGGGAGGAGGGCGGGAATAACTTTAGGAGCCTAAAACACATTTCCAGTCTAAATTTAGTAATACTGTGTTTTATAAAAAATCTAAGATACCGTTCATTACAAGACATGCCTCATTTACTACCAAGAAAAATAATGTCATCAATTTAACTATAGAATCACTTAACTTTACATAATTTAACATAAAATTACATGTATCACAGAACTGATAAAATACTGCAATGGCATTTCTGATGTCCTATTTTATGTACGCCTATTGGTAGCTTGCTTTTATCTGGAAACACTAGTTACTTTGCTCAGCTAATATTTTTACAGAAAAACACACTTTTTCTGGGAGGGAAACTCTTTTATCTTAAACAAAAAGAACTTAGTTATAGTTGAAAAAAGAATGGTAATTTCCATTACATATATTCTGTTTTGATAACTTGGCTATTTCTGGTGATTTAATATATTTTTAAGAGACTTACTGCATCTAGCCACTTTTATAAAATGTGATTTAGATAACTGATTCACCAAATGTAATTTAATGTTATTTTCATTTCCAGATAGAAGAGAAAACCATACTAATTGTACTAAACCACACATATCCAAGTGGGAAGACCTGGTAATAAGAGAGGTTTAAATATGTTTCCATTTTTATGTACACTTTATTTTCACTGGTATATTTATTTGAAAATAGGCAAGTCATCTTGACCAAATACACTCGATACTCTTTCATATTCCCACAACAGAAATCTCCAAGTGGACGACGGTAAGGGGATCAGATTATGAAAAATGTTTCTGCATTACGGTCAGTTGTTTTTTTAAATAATCTAACAAAAATCTTTTCTTTTCAGTTTTCTTTCTTTCTGGAAAGTGGTCAGAGCAAGATGAGATTGGAAATTGCCATGTTTACCATATCAACTATAAGATAAAAATCAGAAAGGAGGAATTTACTTCTTATTTAAAAAGAGAAAGGTAAGGTTTACCTGTAATACAGATTTATAATTAAAACTTAACTCTGTGCATTGAAAACATTACTAATTCATTGAATGTATACTTTACAAAAATCTCATTCTACTTGTAATTTTGGTTTTGTAGGTGGATGGGATAGAAAAAAAAGTTCAAAACGTCTTTTAAAAAATTACACATTTAAATGTTCACAAATATCCATAGTATACACTAAGGAATGAATTAAAAAGGGAGACTTCAATACATTTGACCTTGAACTATGTAAAAACACATAATAAAATAATATAGTTTATAAGTAGACTTTAAATCAACACTTACAAACATTTCACCTTTTTTCTCTATTAAGTTGCCAATTATCTATAGGCATAATTTTAATCTATTTGCTTCATTCTATACAGATTTCAAAGATAGGAAAGCTAAGTTTGAAAAGAGAAATAATAGCAGTTTTTTATCTGAGAGAGAGATAGAGAGAGAGAGAGAGAGAGAGAGTGTGTGTGTGTGTGTGTGTGTGTGTGTGTGTGTGTCTGCCTGTGTCTGTGTGTTTATGTGTATTTGGTTGTAGGAAAGTGAGGTCAGAATTGGGGCTAAAAAAGGTACATATTTACAGAGTGCCTATTGTATGACAGACACTGCAATCTGAAGGGTTAAATATGGGCTTTCAAAGGAAAATTCCTGATTATAAGGGAACATGAAAAGCCAATGTTTTCCTTTATGTTAATTATTAATCAAAAGTCTATACAAAAAGTTTAGCAACACCTGGCATGTTGTTCTTTCATAAGCAATAAAAGCCTTAATTTCATTCAGTGTTTAGTTGCCTTTAAAAAAAAAATCCGAATACATGTTCAAAAAAAAAAAAGTAGAAAGCATAAATAATATCTCAAGCTTATTGCAGTGAGGGCCTTCTGAGGTTCTGTTATTACTCTAAACTCAGTTAAGCTAGTTTTGAGTCTCAATAAAAAGCCAATTAATGAAGCACAGAACCAAAGGAATGACATCTTAACACTGAGCTAACTGAAATTTTTTATTGAGAAGTACATTTTCAACTCTGCCTTCTTTAGGAAATGTATTCTCTGTGGGTATATAATTGTGGAAATCAAAATGTTTTCCTGCAAATTCAGACAGCTGATCATCCTTGGAAATGTTAACCAGCTTTCTAAGAAGTAATTATTTTAATATTTCTGTTAACTAATTGAGTGAATTCGAGTTGGATTTTTTTCATTAATCGAAACTTAGCTAGTAAGATGAAATACATTCAGCATTCAATAACCAAAAAATTATACTAATTAGAAAAACAAACACTGCTCAGGGAACCATGTTTGCTAGTAGATCAACTCTGAAATTTATCCAGCTTTTCCTAAATTTTAGATTTTACCACACATTGCAAGCATATTTCTGATCCAGCTATCTAAAAACCCACGATGCCTTTATTTTATTTCAGTTTATTCATGATTGACACAAATATAGTACTGACCTTAATTCCAGCCAGAAGTTATAAGATACTTTGGATTAGGTCAATAAAATCTAAAAGAAGAAGAAGAAAATATACAGTAAGTTAAATCAGTTGAACACTCTGGCCTTTTCTTTCACTAAGGAGGAAGATAAAGTCAGAAGTTATTTGTTCCTCATTCCATAAAATGCACTGACTGAAACATATCCATTTACAATGTATGAGGGTTACACATAATAAAACTTTAAACTTAAAAATATGTTCTACATTTTATTAAAAAAAATATTAAATGCCAAAATTAGGTCCTATTTTTCTTTTATACTTATTTAAAGTAGAAGTTTATACTTATTTAAAGTAGAAGTCCTATGCTTATATTCTAAAACAACCAAACAAAAGAATTTTTAACATATTCTGCTTCTAAAATACTACCATTGCTCTTAAGAGATGTTTAATGAAAAATAATAAAACTCGTGCATTTTGATCCTGCCATAGACAGAATGCTTATGTCCCCTCCACCCCAAATTCATATGTTGAGATCCTAATTCCTCAATGTGATGATATTTGGAGGTGGAGCCTTTGGAAGGTGATTAGTGCCCCTGTAAAAGAGATCTCAGAAATATAAAAAGTATGACTATGCCTTTACACGGGAGATCACAGGGAGCACTCTCATGCCTTCTGCCATATGAAGATGAGGGAAAAAACAGGGAGCAGGACCTCAGCAAAAACAATCTGCTGCTGCCTTGATCTTGAACTCTGCTTCCAGAGCTGTGAAAAATTTATTTCTGTTCTTCTATGTTTGTTAGAACAGTCTGTACAGACTGATACAGGTCTTTAATCTGATTTAATATACACAGAGAGTCTATAGATTTTTAGTCCTGGGTCAACAATCAGTCTAAACCTTTGCTAAAGGTAGCAAAGGTCAAATAAGACCATTCCAGTGGTAAACAATCAATCTTCCCACTGGTCTCTTGCACCTTAGCCTTGCCATTAAAATATGCTGAGAAGTAAAAATACATAAAAGTATGTTGTCAAATGAAAGAATAAAGAAACTCCATCTCAAAAAAAAAAAAAAAAAAAAAAAACCCTTCTGTCCCAAATGTCAGCCTGCCTCTGGGACAGATAGTAAACAAAACTTCAGAATGACAAAAGAGTGAGACTCGCCTCACCACAGGGAGCATCTATGGCAAAGTCTCTAATTAAAAGGCAAGTTAAGTTCTAGAAGTATGTTTGTGAGTTAATTGGATAGAAAACAGCATATGTTCTTCTTCTTCATGTTCAAAATGTTTCATTATTAGACTCCTATGCTAAATCCCAAAACTAAATTAGCCTATAACTAATTATTTACTGAAAAGGACAGTGTAAAATAATATAAAGAAAATACTAGTTAACCACAGAAAATACAACTGAATATGAAACAGTTGATTTTTAATCCTAAGGGTTTTTAATCCTAATAGTTGATTTTTAATCCTAACAAAATGATAGGTTGATACATCTGTGGAGATTTGTTTTTTAAGTATCTGAGGAAATTATGAAGGATATTTAAGATTAATGCCTTTAGTATATCTATTTTGATTTCAAACACCTGATATTATTTTACTTCGATAAAAATATTATTTTTTGGCTAAAAGCCAGCAGCTCCCTAATTGTCATATTGGCCCAGGGCACCACTATAAACTCTTAGGGGGATGGTGAAATATTTTCTTTTTATTTTATTTTTTTGAGACAGCATCTCACTCTGTCACCCAGTCTGGAGTGCAGGGATGTGGTCATGGCTCACTGCAGCCTCAACCTCCCAGTTTCAATCTGTCCCCCCACTTAAGCCTCTGTAGTAGCTGAAACTACAGGCATGAATCACTACACCTGACTAATTTTTGTATTCTTTATAGAGATGGAGTTTCACCATGTTGCCCTGGCTGGTCTCAAACTCCTGGACTCAAGCGATCCACCCACCTTGGCCTCTCAAAGTTCTGGAATTACAGGCATGAGCCACCATGCCTGGCCGAAATGTTTTCAATATATGAAAACAAAAACAAAAAATCCACAGCAATATCCACTAAGCAGCACAAGAACCATTAAAGTGGTTTATGGTTTCAATATTAGATTATGCTACTCTCCTTTCAATGATGCTCACAGCTTTGAAAAGTTGGGTTTTTCATGAGGTTTGTGATATAAAAGCAAATACTGCATGAAAATCAATGTGAAATAAGAATGACCAAAAATCTTTTTTTCCATAAAAAATTAAAGGAAATAAGAATGATAGTGTCCAGTTTGACTCCAAGGTTTGAGGGCTGGGCGGTATTCAACAGGCACAAATCCCATTAGTAAGTGATTGTGGGTTTCTACACATAAAACAAAAATAGATTTGCTTTCAATTTATTTGAATTATTTTTTCAAAATGCTTCTAAGTTGTTAGAACTTAAACATATTATGCTAATTAAATTAAACTGTGAGGTACATCTTTTGGCCTAGAGGCATCTTGAAAATAAAATTACTCAGATGCTAAGGGTATCAAAAACTGGGAATATCTGGAACATTCCTGTTAAAACATAGTTTCTTGTTTGTTTTTTTTTTTTTTTT